GTCGGCACGCCGCTGAAGGTCCGAACGAGTTCGCTGAAGTATAACTAGAGTACATTAAATCCATGAATAGAAAAGCAACCACAGGATCTCTATCGTACCACATTCGCCAGGTCACCAAAGCAGAGCCCGACTTTTCCGATGGTGATACCCAAGATGATGCTTCTTCTGATGAGAACGAGGATGTGAAGCCCAAGGCCCGTGCATGTGCTCGCAAGAAAGCCAAAGAGCCCTGACCTGGTATAGCTGTCTGTCCCACGTGTCTGTGTCTGTCTGTGTGTGTCTGAAGAAGCTTTATTGTCCTTTCCGAAGCCAAACCCATATAAATCTGAGGCTGGTGGCAAGACCCTCGGCAAGCTGACCAAGGCCGAGGAAGCGAAGCTGGAGGCGGTCCTCCGGCGACTTTGCAAAGCTGATCGCAGAGGCAACTATCAGGTGCCGGAGCAGGTTCACAAGTTGTGGAAGAAGGGAGGGTCGTCAAGGAGAGAACTCAGGAAGGTCTTGCTACAGTGCGAGGGAAAGAAGGACTCTTTAGCCGAAACCCTAAACCCTAAACCTATAAACCCTAAACCCTATACCCTAAACAACATAACAAGCCTATAACACCTCGATGTGGCAGAGACCTTTCCCCAGAAGCCCCCAACACGCAGGAAGCCTTTTTGCAGAAGGTCAACCACGTCTATCGGCAATCCCGAAGCAACGAGTTCAAAACCAAATCCGGGTTTTACACGGATCAGATGATGGCCGATGAGTTGAAGTTCTCGGAGCCCCTTCGCTGTATACTTGTTCATGCTGTCGAGCAGTCGTGTGCACGCGGGGGAGGGGGGCAAACTATGTTCGTGGGTGTGTGTGTGTGTGTGCACTTAAGGTCTGCATGGGTGTGACTATGGTATGTGTACCGATTTGTGCTGCATACACATGTATATATATATAGATACATATATATATATATGTAAATATATATAATGTACTTATATGTCTCTATATATGCACACATATATAGGTATCTGTGAGTATCTCCATGTATATACAAATATAGAAAGAAAAGTATGTGTCATTCATATGCATGCACAGTTTTCCTGTGTGTACGTGTACATATATAGACATATACACACATGTGTCTACAAATACACTGGTCTCCATGTGTGGAACTCAGGCAACGTCGCAAAGCCATCCGAAAGTTCTGCATGAAGAAGGAGAATCGGAAAACCCATGTCAAGCACGCCGCCCCAGCTCTCTGCAGTGACAATACAACTGACATCTGTTAGCAGTCATCCCTCAACCCCAGATTGTTGTTTCAGGAAAGACAAGTACCAGAAGAAGCTGCTATGGTACTGGTGCGATATTGCATATGAGGGCACGAAAGCCAGCAAGGATGAGGAAGAGCTCATCCGAGACACCTCCTTGGGTGATGATGCCCGAGTGAGCGAGGTGCCCTTGGGCCTGCAATCGAAGCTCCCCGACATGAACTCTGATGAGGAGGAGGACAACGATGCTGATGATGATGACGCTGACAATGATGACGAAGAAGATGAGGAAGGCGATGAGATGAAGCAAGGCAAGCTGGGAAAAAGGAGGAGCAAAGAGTGCCTGGGTGATGAGGTGGAAGAGGCCATGGCCCTGAATGATATCACTATGTGTGCTACAAACCGCTTAACCCTGATCCCTCCTTCCTAGGAAAAACAAGAAACAAATCAGGACATCGATGGGGTGCCAGCCATGTTGGATGAGATGCTGAAGCTTGACCAAAGAGCGACCAAGCTTGTGGATCGGTGCCGCAAAGCTGGTGCTGAAAAGAAACTTGGCCGGTGTTAAGTGATATGCAGCGAAA